AGCGAGGACCGTTTTGCGACAGGGGCGGATACGGAATGTGCCCCATGGAATATCAGCAAGCAAAAAAGGTGGTGTGCGTACAGATCACTGCGCATTATTCACCGCGCATGGCACTCGATATCCACGGAATCGTGTCTACCAAACGATGTCAGGTGCTCGCTCCTTGCAAAATCGCCAACAATAGTAACCAAATGTAGGGGGGAGTAGATTTTGTCATGGCTACCTCGACACGGCATATACAACCCGTTGAATTTGATACTGGGATCCGGGCTGAATGCACTCACCTTGTCATAGGCTCCTCCATAGAAGACGCGCCGCTCGCATTCGACGGCGCTGGGAGTGTAGATATTCCACGTTGTTACAAGATCTGGATTGGCCTATCATTTGCGCACGCTTGTCAGGGTGGGTTATAAAGGGGCCACGCCACTGAAGGCACAGCAGCGATGGCTCCGCGCCTTGAGGATCTTTCCGTATCCACTAAAGATATCTGTAGTTGATTGTGGACGGGGGCGCGCGAGCCTAGCTCATCTTTATTAGATCGTGTAGGGCAGATTCAGATGTATTGCAACTTGCGCGCCTTGAAGTAGAAAGAAGTTTAAGACATCTCTCTCAAGGCGTGAGCGACTTAGACTGAAGGTTCTGCGAGCTCCTGTTTTATGACACTTATTCTCTGTTATCTACGTCATTTAAATGGGATCGTAACAGGAATTGAACTTACTCATCGCTGGTAAGTTTACGACGTGCGCCGGCGAACCTTGAAGGAAAGTGCAAGCGACATGGGCCGGGAGTTGCCGGATGCACCGGATCAACAATTGGGCGTCTATCCCAGTTCAAGTTGCTCCTTGGTGAAAGTCCGTCAGCTACAGCAGCTGTGAGCGGTCTTACAAGTGCGTCTATGCTCTGAGGTGTTCGCTTCTGAATTTTGAAAAAAGGCACCTTGTGCTTGTAACAGCATACTACATTGCTTCCGACGAAGATTGGCACCTCACTTGGAATATTGATCTACGAGACTACGACGACTCGAGGACGCCAGCGGCCGTCACGCTGCCAGCTGGAGACTTCGTATATGGAACTCTGCTAACGACTTCATCCAATCAGAAGGCATCTCAGATGCAGTACTCAAAATACCTGAGGACGCGTCGCTTCGTCACGACTCGGAAAGCTTGGCCACTAGTAGCTAGCGCCTCATACTAGTACGGAAGATTAGCAGAATATGTGGCCTGATGTCTTCCAACGTTTCGAAGCATATCTCATCTGCTCAGTTCTTCAGAAACATCTACAAGGCGCTTCAGTAGAAGTATTTCATCTCAGATCCGGTACCTTCCCGTACTACGGCTCCACCTCCGAGGATTGCGTCACTCGGTCCCTATTCAAGTTCGTGGTGTGCCGCTCCACCGACGGTGCGTATAGAAACGACGCAAGCCTACAGTTATATGCTGAGGGAATGTACCAGTGGCAACGTACCCCTCTTCAAGATCGTTATACATATGCCCCCGGTCTTTGTTGCACCATTACTCAATCCATGTCCACCCCGAGCGCGGGCTACGTATGGGCGTCGAGTATGTGTTTATCCTGAAACAAGGAGCAATCAACATCAGGTGAATTGAGTGTATTCTGCTCGCGGTGAGCGTTTCGTGATTGACATAGAGTCCCAAGGGAGCAAGAGTTGCGCCTTCCGTGGCTTCGTACGGATGTTCCATCACACAATCGCAGGCGGACATGCTCCGGGAATATCTGCGCGAGAGGAAATTGCATCGCAACGCCGAGCCCGGTGGCATGCGCCGTCACATGGGAAGCGGTTCTCAGCCTCCGTTTCGGACGGAGCCTCAAGACGAACTACGGTTAAAGTCTCCGGCACCCCAAATTCACTCGGTTAACCCACGAGAGTTATTGATATTCAAACTCAATCCGTAAGCGTACTGTCTCCACTTCAACCCTACTCGGCGCTCGCACTGAACCCACTGTCCACACCGACCTAATTGCGATAGTAGCCGGCGTTCCAACGCAAGCGCCTATTGCGACACCGAACATGCGCCCGGCGGATCTGAAGCCTAGGAACTCAGAATACAGCTTTCTCTGACAACTGCCCCCCGTTTCCGCCTTTCCAAGAAGCCCCGCTTCCACTGAGCTTAAAGGTATGTGTGGCAGTCGAAGATATATAGGTGCTAGGTCCCCAGAAGTCTCCCTAACTCTCCCCTACCGCCATCCATGTCTTTCCACTCACCCCCACTCACTAGCGCTTCGGTGCTGTCTGCATTCGTGCTCGTCGTGTTTGTTTTCCAAGCAGTTTGCACCCGTTGGCTGAAGCAAGATAGGCGCCCTTATCCCCCCGGTCCATCGGCGGTCCCGTTGTTGGGCAATATCCATCAACTTCCTGTTGATTATCAGCAGAGAAAATTCGCAGAATGGGGGAGGAAATATGGTACTTACGTGCTCGTATGAAGTCCTTTCATCTCTGACGGCGGGATCACTTTCATTGCAGGCGACGTGGTGTTCGCGCGCTTTTTCCGTACGCCTGCTCTGATTCTGAACTCGCGGGAGGCAGCGGCAGAGCTGCTGGAGAAACGGAGCAGAAACTACTCGAGTAGGCCGCGGTTCATTCTCCTCGCCGAACTGTGAGTTGCACGATTGTTTCCAGGCCTTCGACTGACATACTGCAGCATGGGCTGGGACACTGTCCTCAACAACCTACCGTACGGCGAACGCTTCCGGAAGCACCGTAAATGGCTACACGACGCATTCGGCCCAAGGGAAGTTCTTGCGGCATACGTACCTATCCAGCGGCGGGAGACATACACTCTCCTGGCCAACCTATGTGAAACTCCCGAGCAGTTCACGGACCACCTCACACGGTACGCGTAGGGGACACCATTCGGCGATCCCCACACTCATCTCTGATTTCCATAGATGGGCCGCCGCCACGATCATGGAAATTACCTACGGCCACCGGGTGAAGTCAAATGACGATCCGTTCATCGCTCTCGCCGAACAGGCAGCGGTCGAGACGGTCAAGGCCGGCAGCCCAGGCTCGATGCTGGTCGATTTCTTCCCCATCTGTCCGTCTATTTCCCTCCCTTCTGCCATGCCTCACCTCACGCGCAGTCCGTAGTGAAGGGCCTCCCTCTGTGGGCGCCGGGGTCGGGCTTCAAGCACCGCGCGTTTTACGTACGGGAGCTCATCCGGCGCACTCTGGACACGCCGTTCGATATGGTGAAACGCGCGTTGGTACGTCACTCCCCGCAGCCTTTCCTGCGCATGCGCTTATAGCGGCGCTCAGCGTACAGGCACGGCGGCGCCTTCGTTCACCGCGACACTTCTAGACGAGGCTGTGGCGGAAGGGAGCCTTACTATGGAACACGAGGAGGACATTAAGGGGGCCGCTGGAGTTATCTACACTGGTGCGTCCACTGTATGACCTTCTCAACGACGTCATTGACCGGCAGGTGCAGCCGGCACAGAGACAGTAAGGTTCCTCGCCTTGTCGAGGCTGCGTGCACACCTGACGGGGCCGTTCAGACCGTAACTGCGATGAAGACATTTATCCTAGCGATGGTTCTACATCCGGATGTCTGCAAAAAGGCGCAGGCGGAGATCGACCGGGTCATCGGGCCTGACCGGCTCCCCGACATCGAAGACCAGGACAGTCTGCCGTATCTGAACCGCGTGCTGAAAGAGGTTCTCCGGTGTGGTTCCCTCTCCCCCATTGCTCCCTCTGTGCCCGGTATGCTAACTTTGGGCCGTGGCTCGCAGATGGAACGCGCCCGTGCCGCTCGGTCCGCTATTTCCCGCGCGGTGGCGATATGCACGCTAACGTCCGTATGTTCGCGCAGGCGTGCCGCACGCGGTGCAGGCCGACGACGTCTATCGTGGGTACCACATCCCGAACGGGGCCATGGTCATCCCGAACATCTGGTGCGTCCCTGATCGCTCTCGTCACTCTCGTCATGTTCCCGTTCATCTGATCGTCTGACGCGCTGGCAGGTGGATGACGCAGGACCCGGACGTCTACCCCGAGCCGGAGAAGTTTAACCCTGAGCGGTACCTGGACGAGGCCCCGGACCAGGCGCGGAAGCCCGACCCCAGGGACGTCGTCTTCGGCTTCGGTCGTCGGTACGTCCACGTCCACGTCTATCTGCGCACTAGCTACCCCCGCGTGCCAGCCTGGTCCGACTCTAACGCGACCGTCACAGCATCTGTCCTGGGCAGGCGTTCGCAGAGGCGAGTCTCTGGCTCGCCGCAGCGAACATCCTCGCGACCATGGACCTCGGCTACGCGCAGGACCATCTAGGCCGGGACATCGTCCCGGACGCCGCCTTCATCTCGGGCTTTGTCAGGTAAGCCCCCGCTCGACTCCGGAGACCGACGTCTCCGGGGTACTCGTCCGTTCGTGCGCTCATTCCTTCTGTCAATTCTGGTATGGGCGGGGTTCGTATAGCCACCCGAAGGCGTTTACGTGCTCCATCCGCCCGCGCTCCGCGCGCGTCCAGGACCTCGTCACGCACATGAACGCCGTCAACATCGTCACGGCATGAACGCTCGCTCGACTCGGACCCCCTCACGAAACTGTTATGACCGGTGCTCGTTCTCTGATTGCACAGAATAAGAAGAACGGGCGCGAACTCGAACTCGTGGTCTTGCGAAGGGGTATGTAGTGATAGGATCCTGACGGCCTCCATGCCGACGAAGGGTAGTTCTCGGTCCCGCGCCGTCCGCAGGGGGCGGCGCGGTGCATCAGGAGGCTCGGAGGGCAGTAGGGGCGTACGCATGCTTTCACTATATACCGCGATTTTTCTTGGGTTCTTGCACGGATCGACAGGTGGCACGTTACCAGCCCGAATAGGACCACTGGCAGCAATGCTGACACTCTGAACACCCGATCACGATTACTATTACTGCTGTTGTAAGTTGGTGGAGATTGGTACCGTCCGGCAGGCTGGGCTGTCTCGGAGGCTCACGCGGCACGTCGACTACAACTCTATCAAACCCTCACGGTGCACGACACACTGATGGTGAAACGGTATCATGCTTGCCTTCCACTCTACTACGGCAGTCGGCGTGTGTGTGTGCGTCAGCAAGCGGCGCGGGTTCGACTCCCGCTCAGTGTACGCAAAGGAATCGCAGCGAGTGCTTTTGTTGTTGACCAGGGATCCGCAACCGTGACGGTTTGGTTCCCGCAAACGCAAGGATAATAAGACTTGCAGTCTTGCATCCACGATTCCGCGACTATTCCTTGAATGCATGGGCCGCGACGGACCTGGTACGCTCCGAGTTAACTCACGACTTTGCTTGTCCTTCCGGTCAATGCCTCTCCGTAACTTCAAACTCCCAAAGTCACCGTCGACCCGTGACGACGCATGCTAACTTCCCGACTCGGATGGTGCCTGGCCAGCGCCGCCAACCGCCCTCTCCCCAACTGGCCACCCGGCGAGAACTCAGAACACCTTCCCAAGTTGATTGTGAAAAGTTGGTCGTGAATTCATCGCCATACCCGCCTATCAACTCGGGCAGGGGGGCACGTAAACAAGAAGGATATATATATATCGATATACAACAAGCACGCCCTCGTGCACCCGGGCCGAGCTGGCACAGCACACTAGTTTCTTGAGTTGTTGAGATCTGAGCATCCCCCACACGCCGCAGCGTTTTCGCACAGATCACACCGGCAGCTCCCCCTTCAGCCTGAAATCCCGACTGCTCCTCCCCACCGACACCGCAAACGCGCCCGCGGGCCTCCTCCACCCCTGCGCCCGCGCATCCCACACGCTCAGATCGTACCTCGACAGCGCCAACACCACCCGCTCGGCCTCGCCCGCGCGCACCCGCACGTCCGCGAACCCCCGGAGCACGCTCGGCGGCTCCCCCGCGCGCTCGGGGTAATGAAGGTACAGCTGCGCGATCTCCGTGCCGGGGACGCGGCCGGTGTTGTGCACCGTGAACGAGACCTCGAGGAAGGGGCGGTGCAGCCAGAGCGCGGTGGAGCTGCCCGCGGCGGCGGCGGAGGAGGGGGGGCGCGCCCCGCGGCCCAGGCGGCCTCGAGCGCGGCGGTGGTGTGGTCGAGCGGGGGCGCGGCGAGCGGCTGGATGTGGAGGTTGGAGTAGGAGAAGGTGGTGTAGGAGAGGCCGAACCCGAACTCGAAGCGGGGCGCGATGTTGTTCTGGGGCGGCGTCAGCGGTGCGCAGAGACACAAAGGACAAAGCAGAAGAAAGCGGCAGGCTTACGGCGTCAAAGTGGCGGTAGTCGATGTTGAGCCCCTCCGTGTAGTCGATGCGCAAAATCTCGTCGCCCGTGCCGCCCGTGACGAGGTGCGTGCCGTAGTCCTCGGGCCGCCTCGCGATCGTGTACGGGAGGCGCCCCGACGGGTTCACGTCCCCATACAGCACGTCCACGATCGCGTTCCCCGACTCCTGCCCGGGGAGGCTCGCCCACAGCACCGCGGTCACGTTCGGGTTCTCGATCCACGGCTCGACGATCGCGGGCCCGACCGAGTGCACGACGACGACCGTGTTCGGGTTCGCGCCCGCGACGGCCGCGACGAGCGCGTCCGCGTTGCCCCACAGCGTGAGGTTCTTGCGGTCGCCCTCGTTGCCGTCGACGGTGATGTAGCCCTCGCCCGACTGCGCGTTCACGAACACGAGCGCGACGTCCTGCCCGAGCGCGGTCGCCGCCGCGCCCGCGAGGTCCCAGTTGTCGAGGAACCACGAGATCTGCGACCCGGACGAGTCGTGCCGCGCGCGCGCCTGGATCGCTTCGAGCGGGGAGATGAGGTACGGGAACTGCGCGGTGCCGGAGCCCCAACCCATCGCGAGCGTGCCGTCGTCGCCGCCGCGGTCGGGGTAGCCGTTCGGGCCGCGCAGACTGGGTCCGGAGTCGTTGCCTGCACGCAAACGATCAGCATCGGGGCACAAGTCGAGGGGGAACGGGCTCACCAATGATAGCGATGCTGCGCGGCTTCCTAAGAGGCAGCGCATCCCCGACGTTCTTGAGCAGAACGGTGCCGGCCGCGCCGATCTCGCGCACGACCTTGTAGTGGTCCGCCTGCACGTCGACGTGCTTGTTCGTCTGCGGGTCGTTCGGGAAGAACGCATTGAAGCTCACTAAAGCGCCGCCCTCAAATCAGTCTACCATCGCCGCCGTGCAGACAACGCGAGGCGGGAGCGCACCTTCGGGGTAGTTCTGGTCCTGGTCGAGGAGGTACCACGCGGCGACGATGCGCTCGGCCATGTCGTCGACGCGGCTCTCCGCGATCGTGCCGTTCTCGACGAACGCGGTCAGGTTCGCGCCCCACCACGACGTGTGCGACTGGAACGAGATGTCGCCCGGCATGGACATCTGACCGGCGCCTCAGCGACTAGGTCGTTTGGCGTGAACGGAGGAAACGAGCTCACATCGAGTCCGGCAACGGCAGCGAGAGTGGAATGGTGTGCGCCCCAATCCGACATGACGTATCCCTGGAAGCCCTGCTCGCCCTTCAGCAGCTGGTTCAAGGTACGGTCCTGCTCGCAAGCAAACGTCTCGTTGATCTGGTCTGCAGTTGGGCTTCAGCACACACGCTTCCCTTTACCAGTGGCTGTCAATAAAACTCACTGTAGCTGCACATGACGCTCGCCACGCCGGCCTGCACGGAGCGCAGGAAGGGGTGCAGGTAGATCTCGTGCTCCGTGCGGTCGTCCACGTTGGACGACTCCTGCGTGCGGCGATGCTCCTGCTCGCTGTTTCCCGCGCGTCAGCACCGTCCGCTGCACGCAAGCAAGGGAGACCCACTTGTTGATGTAGTGCTTCGCGCACGCCTGCACGCCGCCCTGCTGCATGCCGAGGATGGTCTCGTACGCCGCCTCGCCCGACAAGTACGGGTCCGCGCCGAACCCCTCCCAGTTGCGCCCGCCCTGCGCGATGCGGCCCATGTTCATCATCGGGCCGAGCGCGACGTGCACGCCCTTGCCCTTGAACTCCTGGCCCATCGCGAGCCCGCGCGCGCGGATGAGGCTCCGCTGCCACGTCGACGCCGCGGTGATGCCCGCCGGGAACGCGGAGACAAAGTCGGTGTCGCGCACCCCAAGCGGCGAGTCTTCGAGGCAGAGGCCCGGCCAGTCCGCGACGGCGGGGATGTTGCCTACGCAGAGGCCGCCCATCCAGCCGACGCCGGTCGTGGTCGCGACCTTTTGGTCGAGCGACCAGCCGGAGATGAGCTTCTTGGCGCGGGCGTGGGCGCGTGCCCAGGCGGGGCCGAAGTCGGGTATGAGACGCGATCCCGGCGGAGGGGGAGACTTGGGAGACGTCGAGGGGTATACGCCGGGTATAGGGGACGCCGAAGGGACCGGGAAAGAGGAGAAGGGGTATGAGGAGATTGGCAAAGTGAATTGCGCTGCATGCATTGTGTTAGCCGACTGCATCAAAATCCAACCAAACAAGCACGGGTGGTTTCGGCTCGTATCCCACAGGTGCACAGGCTACGTTCCAGTGAAAGGTCAAACATGCACGATAGTTTCGGGTATTCCAGCCGGCAATGGAAGCCATTTTTGTCTGACTTTTTCCAAGACTTTACCACCACACGAGCTGCAGTACGCCCGTCGTGGAGACTATGACGTAGTGACTTGTGTGCCCCCTTACGAGGACCCCTACTGCAAAAGAGCGGGGATAGAAATGCAAAACCGTAGAAATAGCGGAGTCATGCTAGCGTCATGCTACGCTTTATTTAGCGGCAAACGCGCACTCAATATGCATTTCGCGTCTGAAGTGGGCAGAATGCGGGACCAAGAGACAGGCGAAACCAAGCAAGAGACCGATCGGATGCAGTTCGGGAAATGACTCACTAGTCTCGATGGGGGGACCGCCGGCGCTGGTGGTGGCCGAAATGGATGCAGAGGCGGCGGAGGAAGCTGAGATGGCTGCCGAAGAGGCGGCGCTGAAGGTGGCTGATTCGGAGGCGACACCGCTAGAGAGCGGGGCGGATGCGGACTCGGAGATGGACGCACTGGCCGGGATGGACACGGATGCAGACACGGTAGAAGAAGCGGGGACGGAAGCGGCACTGGTAGCGACGCTGGTTGCGGCGGTGGAGAGTGAGATGGACGCGGTGGACGCGGCGCTGCTCACGACGGAGGAGATGGCACTGCTCGCGAGGGAGGAGATGGCACTGCTCGCGAGGGAGGAGAGGGAGTTTATGGGGAGCGCAGTGGACGAGACAGCCGCGGAAGACGCGACGGCGGAGGAGTCCTGTGCATGGGAGGCGAGTGCGAGGAGGAGGAGGCTGGAGAGAGCAGAGAGCCGCGGGCTGAGGACGACCATGGCGGTGTCCGGACGGGGAGAGCTCAGCGGGCGGGTGTGCTCGGAGGAAGCTCGGAGGAGGGGCCATGGGCGGGCCTTTATAGGGCTGGGGCGAGCACGGCCTGCTTCTGTGAAACGGGGAGGAGGCGGGAGGGCGTTCTGCTGTTTGTGCAGCTTCTGCTGGAGCGTGCAGCCGAACGCCTCACGTTATGGGCGTCTGCACGCGCATGACGGTGTCAAGTGACCGGTGACGTAACGCGTCGCGGGTGTTCTGAATCGCGCTGCCCCGTCGACGATCGTCCCGACGACGACCGCCGCGTTCTCCGCCTCCCCTGCCGCCTCCCTCCCTCCCCGGCACGGGCGAGAACGCGCGCAGCGGCGGCTCTGACGCGTGACGCGTGACGTCCGAGTCTGCGCCCGAGGCGGGTGCATGCCAGCGCACGCTTGCTCGGGTGACGCCGCCTTTGCCCGCGCCGCCTCCCAAACGCCCCGACGCGCGCCGCGTTGTGCAGGCGGCCGCTCCCACCGCCCGTCACGCCACGTCCGAACCGTGCATTCCCATCAGCTCGCGCGTGTCCATATGCACTCTTCTTCACCAGACGCGGTCTCCTGACCCCCGCCCCGCGTGCGTCCCCCAGCGTTTCCGTTCTCCCTCCGTGCCTGCCGGTCTCCCGGCTTCATCTTCCCTCCTCCTTCCCTCCTCGCGTCCCTCTCGCGCCGCCACGGCTCTTACGGCCTTTACGGCCCCCCGCCCTTGTTTTTTGTCCTTGGCCGCGACAGTTTCGGTGCGCACGCCATTCGATCCCGCGCCGGCCCAACGTTCCTTCCACGTACCCCTCAA